TACCTCAAGTTTAACGCCCGCAATTTGCAACATTTTAAAATAAGACGAGCAGATAGAGAAACAAAGTGAATAATGTAATTCTTACATGGGAAATATTTATGATACATTTCTTTGATTTTCTGATTTAGTGATGCCCTAAAGCTTGTAATTGGAATCATTGTCTTGTTTCCCATTCTTAAAGCAGGACAGATCTCTTATTATGTTGTAGTGTGAATGCTTCCAAAACTCTCCAAACAGCTACAGTAATATTCTACTGTTTCCTTCATCATTCATAATTTATTTTATCATTCAATTGTTAGACTTGTCAGAATTAAATTTTTGTGGGGCTAATTTCTTCAGCCCATATTTTCACTGTTTTTTTCTTAAAATAATTTCTTTTGTTGACAGATTAGTTTGACCACCTTGTTGACTGTTTTCACAATCTCCTATTGACTTTGGTTAGAAAGAATGATTTACATGATAAATTAGAGGGTGCATTTTCATACAAGACATACATTTCTTATGTATTTGCATATCTAATATTTTAAATTTCAATTTTTATATTTAAAATGCCCAAATTGTCCTTCACATCAAACATATCACTATTATTAGGTGAAATGGCATAGATGTAAAAATATGTAAATACATAGGAATTATGTGATATGTTTGTAAATGCCCATAATGTAGAATTACAATGTGGTTTTATAATCATGAAAAAATCGGGGATTTATATGCATGCCACATGAATCTTATATATTTTTATATTTCATATGTAAACATTCAAATTTACATGCATATCATTCAAATTTTTAATATCAGATCAAAAATATCACTATTAATTGCTTTTTTTTTTTAAATTGAAATACAAATTTACATGCGTAGATTTATGACAATAAGATGTTGTAAGTGTAAATATCAAACTTTAGGTTTTAGATATGATACTACATAAAATTATGTGTTATGTATGTACTTTTTTTTATTTATTTGTAATCTCCGCGAAAAAAAAAAAAAATCAAAATAATGAAAAATTCAAATAAGATGATGTGTTAAATTATATCAACTAAATAAGCATTATTCTAGCTTTATGTGGTTGAGGCACTTCTTTCTTGTTGATAAAAATCCTAATTCATGTTTATGATTTTTTTTTTGTACCAATTTTCATCAAAGGAAGGATCTCTCATTACTATGTTGCTTTGCTCATCACCAATATACATAATCTTTAGTTTTTTTAGTCGTAATTCGATCATCAAAGTGATTATTAAGCACTATGGATAAGCAATTAATGTTGCACGTAATATGATGGAGATCATGAGGTTGTATTGCATTCGAATTGGAGACGCGGGGTTGAACACTTAGGCTTAGAAGGTTGTGTTTAAGGTTCAAAGAGAAGGCTTTATGTTGTGGTGGTCAAGAGTTGCTCTTGGGAGGGATTTATTTATGATCATTGTTATGGTGGAGAACAATACCAAGGCTGTTTATTTAGTATAGTTTAAAGGTGGATTAAGAGTGGACTGATTGGCAAAGGTTGGTGTGAGGGGTTCGAGGGTATTGTTGTGACGGAACTATCTCGTGATGGCTGTGTAGGGGTTAACCCAAGAGGCCCCCAAAGAGATTTTTAAGGTTTAACAGATGAAACAAATTATTTTGTGGGTGGTTGAAGGGTTCGCATTAGAACATGATGAAGAGGTAATGTTGTGAAGCTAAGGTTAGGATGTTGGTGAAGATGCCAATTGCTAGAAGTAATAGCTTCTGGGATATGGAAGAGGGGCTAAAATATGGAAGAAATAATTTTAAATGTTCTTGGGTTAGTTGAAGTTGAATGATGAGAATTAACTTAGGTAATTTGGAAGATAAAATTATAGTGAAATGTAATATAGTACTAATTTGATGTATTGGTTGACAGTTTTAATGATTTTTTGATTTAGTTCCTTATAATATATTATTGAAGTCATATGATATTATTCATAACTATTGTCAATTTTCATGCATTAAATCCATAGCCTAAACTTCAATTATATTAATAATCTATTAGAAAATTAGTACAAAAATGGTTAATCAGTAAAAGGGCCATGAATTATTTTAGAGATCCTCCTGATGTGATGCTTCACATTGGCACACCTATAATTATATTTTATGAGTTTGAGGGATTTTTTTAAAGATTCTTACAAGCTATGGTATAGTAACATGTCATGGAATATATATATATATATATATATATATATATATATATAATATTAATGTATCACTGTGGTATAAACACTCACACCAATCTATATAATTATGATATTTTGCTAGAGAAATTTAAGGGCTAATACACAATAATGTTAATTATATGTTACCCAAAACATTTTATATGTGTAAAATTAGAAAAGATTTATATTTACAATTATGCATGTGATATTTTATTGAATGATTTAAGTTTTATGATCCACATATGTGTATATAGTTTACGACTCATTTTATATTTTATACACATATTTGTGTATAGTGTTATTTTACACATAAAAATATTTTTTCTTAATATGAGTGTGTTTACTATGCACTTTGTACATGTGCTAATTTATAAAATAATTTAAATTTGATGCTAAATATACCCGTTTATACATCTAAATAGTCATTATATTTTTCAGGAACATGTGCATATAAGAGCAATTTCATACGA